TGGCAACTCGCCAGCACCTATTTCAACGTGTTGCCGAACATCAGAGCTCAGCCGGAATCGGAAACCACATCAAGATCATTTTGCCATCTTAAAGAAATGTAGGAGTAAACTTGACTGCCTGATATATTAAATTTTATATATCAGAAATCTTAAGCAAGTACTCAATACTCAGTTAGACTCAATCAGAGCAAAACTGTTCCTTTAAAATAACAATAGTCTGTAAACGTAAAGAAACGTTCATTTCGGATATATACAGCTTTTTGTTCAAGAACTGGTCCACTCTGGAGAGCTTTTACTGGAATATTTGTCTACGTATACGTTGGTGTCGTTTACTTGTACTTTGTTGCTGTTGTCGTTGTTGTGGTTGTCTTTGTTCTCTCTCCTCCGCAGAGGCTCAAAGTGGTTTTTCGGGTAGGGAGAATCCGCTAAACGATATGAGATCTAACGTAGGGTTATGTTAGTAGAGGGCGATGGTCGATTCATTCGACTTTGCACCTGCACTCAACTCACACAGCGGCGTTCTATATTTTTCTGGCCAATCGGCAGGAAGGAATTCAAACGCTTCCGGAACTGGTTCGGTAAGAGTAAGTGCCCAGGGGCTCTCCCGCTCCGCCCAAAAATATCGCGTCCTTCCGACTTGCTGCCCCTGGGTCTCCGAGGATGCAAGTACTCAAAACTAATCGAGTAACGAGTCGATTTTGAAGTCGAAAAGATGAGAAATGTCTTACGCGACACTATCACTTTAGTATTCAGTCAAACACTTTTGTAACAGAAATCAGTTGATTGATCATAACATGGTTAATTGAGAGAAATGGTTAGGAAGGCAGGTCAATATCAAAGAAGTAAAATAACAGACTAAGATTTATTTTGGAAGGCCCTTGACCCTGCACATCTTTTGTTTTATGTTCGCTGACTATGCATGAGTTACATAATCGCAATACTCTTACCGGTTAGTTGTATGAGCACGCGTAACCAACTTTTGCATTTTGCAAGGTTTTGTGCAGAGTTAACCACCAAAATAGTCAACAAAAACATACAACAAAGAACTTTGCCAAGTTTCCTAACCATTTCCCTCAATTAAGTATGATCATAGCAAATGGCCTTGGGGTTACCAATTTTTCCTGTTTCAAAAATGGCAAACAAAGCGTCTAATTGTTCCCATTATTGTGGGAGGGTGGTAAAAGAAATGTTTCGCATTTTTTGCCGTAATTTTTGTTTTTCATCTGAAAGCACTGAAAATGTATCGACCAAACATGAGAAAAGTTAGAAGCTGGAACGTTTAGCTAGACTCGAGGCGTTTTTATGTAAAGCTTCTTGGCAGTTACGTATTCTTGACAGTTTTCTCTGGTTTCTTGGTTTTTTCCTGTTTAAATATAGAGCATTTGCTTTGTCAGTACCGACAAATTGACAAAGTTTTGTGTTTACAAACGATCGTTTGAGTAGTTTGCGTCCTAAAAGAATAAAACAGAGGCGTTTACAGAATACCATATAAGTCTGGGCATAATCTGAATGTTTTTAGTTTATAACCGGACACACAAATAGTATACCAAGTTTTTCCTCTATCCCAGAGATATCTGTAGTCCCTTTGTGTATACCGGCAATACTTCTCACTGTAGAACGATTTCTTGTCACAGCTCAATTTTTATTTGCTACACGTTTGTGTTGACGCACTGTTGACAGAAGATTTTGTTTGGTTATTTTCCTTCCGCACGAAAATGGTGTCAGTAGCTATAACCATCTTAAACGCAAGACACTGGGAATTGAACGTGTTGAATTGCAAGATTGGGTGACGCGAATCTACAACATAGCTTTAATAATTTAATTTTAGATTTAATTTTAAAGAACTTTTCAAATGAAACAGCTCAGTGATTTTCTTTTTTGAAGGTAACCCCCATTGCCCCCTTTGATTCTTATCAGAACTAGACAGAATGCCACAATGTTACATTTGCATATAGATCAGTGGCTAAAGTGTCTGTAAAGATCCTAAAACAGATAACACAGCCTATATATTAAATGTAATACCCATTTTAAGTCTCGGTGAATCTTAATTCATTCCTGGATTCATTATTCTGTGGTTTTATAAAATGGCATCATTCAGCATTCAATTTATTTGTCAAAACAAAAGCTAACAAATGGTATCGATGACTGCTTTTATTTAACTTTTTCCTGTTTCTGTCAGCGACATAATCAACAAGGATCTCTGTTATTCTAGTGAAAGCCTGTTAAGAGAAGGAAGGGAAGTCAAGGTTGAGTCAAAGTTGATACTATGAGCCGTGTGATACTTATCAGAACTTGATAGAATATCACTATGATATGTAATGAAATGTCTATAAAGACAGCAAAACAGATGACATAGTATAGAGTGAAACAAGTTTATAATACTCATTATTAAGTCTAAGTAATTCAGGTTTTGTCGTTTTGTTTAAGTCAGGAACATAAGAAACCTGAACTTCTTTCATGCTAGCGAAAGTATGGCAAGGAAGAGAAATCAAAGTATTAAGTAGCAGTTGTAGTAAATTTTAGTTAAGCTCGGATTGAAGAGTTCTGTAGCACGTCTATGCTTCCATCGCCGAGAAAAAAAAAGATAGAATATAAGAAAAATAATACCAGTGTCTAATCTAGATACAATTAGGCAAACATAAGAATGAAAACTGCTTAATAAGCCGTAAATAACAAAGTCAATAGAATTTGTCAAGTCGACATTATTGCTAAGGTAGATTTAGGCGGTAGTTCTTAAGTCATTATTTGTTATGTTCCACAATTTAAACGCGTAGAATTTAAAAGAACGCTTTCTGTAAGATGTAGTATTAACGTGCGGTTACTGTAACTTGCCTTTGCCTCTAAGAACATTAACGTTAGTATAAGCTTAAGATGCTCGTTGCTTTTAACGCTGCTTGATTTTGATCGACGTTTTATTTTGCATTCTGTTGGAAGCACTCAAAACGAATCGTGTTAACCTCAGTGAAGTTGAAAAGTTGAGGGATGAATTACATAACAGCATCGTTTTCATGGTGGATTAAAACATCGTACATGATACTACTGGTAAAAGGAATCAATAAATTTGATTAATTTAATCAAGCTTGTTTGTGCGAGATGGCTGGATATTGGCCTTCGTGTTTTTTTTTGCGTGTGTGTGGGCTGACAAGCAGTTGGAGTCCATAAACACGCCATAACAAATCTTGACCAATGTCCATTGACTTCACGCATGGTAAATAATCCACATATAATAATAGGTCGCAACATCTTTTCATGTTCAAAAGATGTATATTTAGTGGTTTCTTAGCTGGAGCCATTTTTCCTGTTTCAAAGATCTATGTTTAGTGTTACTGACGTAATAAAAACCACTTTTAAAAATATGTCATTACAAGTGGTTCCATAGCCAGAGCCATTTTTTTCTGTTTCAAAGATGTATATTTAGTTTTACTGACGTAATAAAAACCACCTAACATGTCATTACAAGTGGTTTCCTAGCCGGAGCCATTTTTTCCTGTTTCACATATGCTAAACAACAGTGGAGATCTATAGTTGAAAACACTGACCCCCGCTTCGCGGACTAATACGCGGACTACCCGTACGGACTACCCTATAGACTACCCTACGGCCAACCCTACGGACTACCCTACGGACTACCCTCCTGACTACCCTACGGACAACCCTACTGACTACCCTACTGACTACCCTACGGATTACCCTACGGACAACCCTACGGACTACCCTACTGACTACTCTACTGACTACCCTATGGACAACCCTACGGACTACCCTATGGACTACCCTACGGCCAACCCTACGGACTACCCTACTGACTACCCTACGGACTATCCTACGGACAACCCTACGGACAACCCTACGGACAACCCTACGGAGAACCCCACGGACAACCCTACGGACAACCCTACGGACAACCCTACGGACAACCCTACGGACTACCCTACAGACTGCCCCACAGACTACCCTACGGACTTCCCTAAGGACTACCCTACGGACTACCCCACGGACTACCCTACGGACTACCCCACGGACTACCCTACGGACTACCCCACGGACTACCCTAGTTCTTAGGGTAGTCCGTAGTGTATTTCGTCAAAAAGTTGAGATAAAGAGTGGCGTGTCAGCATCAGTTCAATTTATTTATATCATAAAGAATAATCGCTCTGGGGTCACTCCACATTTTCCTGTTTCAGTATGGAGTAAAATGTTAACAAAAATTGCATGATTTCTTTCTTTGTAGCCAAAGCCAGATAATAAAAGGAGGTGCTTTATTCTTTTTGGCAGCTAGTTTTGTTCTTTTTGGTTCATTCTAGTTTTTCTTTCAGCAAACACTCAGAGAGCAGAATTGACGAACAAAGAAACTTAGAAGTCAAACATTTAGGAACTTATCAATAGCCTGAAGCTAGTAATTAGTATCAGATTTATCATAACAAATGCTCCTTTAAAACGAATTAAATCATAATCTCCATGGTTGAATTGTTTTTTCCCGTTTCATTCGTGATTAAAAATCATACAACAAATTGATCTCTCTCATTTTAGCGAAGACCTGGGAGCAGAGAGGGAGTCAAAATGTTTCGCTTGTTTTTCGCCTTAGGTCTGGCGTTTTTCCTGAGTTCTTTTGCAACCGCTTGTCAGGATCAGAGCTCTTCGTGCAGATGCCGCGACGGTGAGGAAAATAAGTAATGCGTTTACTATCCTTGCATTATTCGGCTTTCTGCATTTGTTTCCAGACTAACGTCAATCTTTCCTTTTTCATCTTAGGTAGAGACGGTAGAGATGGCATGCCTGGTAAGAGAAGTTTGTCCTTTGACTCTGAAGATAGCTAGTTTTCCCTAGTGCTGCATGCCCAATTTCACGAAACGCCATTTGCACAGCTCGGAGATTGTTATCGAGACTGTATTTCAAGTGCGTAATAAGATTAAATCTCCCAAAATAGCCTGGAGGAGTAATTAGGAAGTTTTTCCATTCGACAGTGGTATAAAAATGGGTAAAAAAAACGATTAAATCCAAGAAGATTTACCACGGTTGTTTAATCACAAACTACCACATCACATAAACAGCAAATGTATTTTTGTCTTCTCTTGATCTTAGGTCGAAACGGGCGCGATGGGATATGTCCAGCTCAGGTAGGTGAAAAATCAACGTCATGTGTCATCAGCCTGGAAGACTTCTTCCTTCAATTTTTCTCTACATGTTCAACTACATTCAATAAAACCATACAAGTAAGAAATAATCTTCATGCCATGCATTCCATATTTTATTTGTTTGTTTAACGTTTATCGTTTTCAGTGTCAACCATCACCACCCCCAAGTGGTGCAATTAAGTTTGGAGACACTGCTGACAAGTGTACACAGAGTATTGCTGGCACCGTTCGTTACAGTACTTCCCAGAATGCCTTGGAACTCTGCAATGGCAGCGCTTGGTTGCTATTGGTGACAGGTGAGTTTTACGTATTTTTTTTTTATCACACCCATGTACACCAAAGTAATATCATTGGTTCTTTGTTTTCACGTGACGGTTTGAAAATAGAACATTTCTATAATCCAAGTTTTCACACCACACCACACCAAGATGGCCGCGAGAAGGCTGTCATGTCCCTTGAAGAGAATGACTCTGAACACTTAACTTGTTAGGAAAAGTGGTCATGTGAAGGTCTACTGATTCACAAGGTGAACTGATGGAAGTAAATTCCAAATGTGTCATTGATTTCTGGCCGCCATATTTGGCACAAAACCAAACAAACTCGAAACGAAGTTGAAAGATCTTTTTACAACTTGGACGAATTTGTTTTCGAATACTTTCACGACAGCCGGAAAAAATTAGCGTCTTTTGCAAACTTTTTCCATCAAATCGCTTTTTGCAGCATGATCGTACCGTCCCCCCCTAGCTGATACGCAACATCCAGCGCACACCCGCAACCCCTCCTTCACCCACACATGTTTCTTATTTGACAACAATCCAGTCAAGTAAGAACTTTATTTAAGTGTCAATGTATTTAGTCCATGTGGGCTAATTGGGGACACTGTATTTTAAACATCTGACAGAAGTTTAATCCTTTTTTACAGCCACTCCCGTGTCCTCTTGTAAGGAACAGTATGACAAACACAAGTAAGTTCACTGTTAGTAAATTACGTTTTAATAATTCACAGTCGTTCACTTCCTACAGCACTTTGCCATGATGAAGCTCTTGGAAAGCGTTCGGTTGAAGAGAGCAAAGCTCTAGGCGGATCTGCATGCTTCATTTTATAAACTCTCCTCGGCAAAGGAAGAGTAGACTACAAGTAGTTCTTCTTTTGCTTAGTCCGTCGTGTGGGATGCGAAAGAAAACCGTGACTGAGGGAAAAAATGGCCGCGCGATCTCCTGGGTTCAAGAAGAAGGCTATTATTTCCTCACGGTTTATTTTGCTGTCTCGCTCGACGGAATAAACGAAAGAGGGACTACCTGTAGTCTGTGGGAAGAGTGAAAATTTTTACAAACAATTCGGCGAAGAAATCAATAGCGGAAATCAGTCCTAGCAGTTTATTCCTCTGGCTCTTTAATAACTTTCAACTTAGCCCTTGGTGTTTGTTCAAAGATACTACACTCTAGTGCGTACAAAGTATAGAATTTGTTAGGAGTTCTTATCTTTCAGTTGCAAACTATGCACTGCACTGCTATTTTGAACAGCAGCAAACGAAGCTAATCACCAGCCAGAGTGTTACTATAAGGTACTGAAGCTCGAGTAGAAGTACACGGCGAACTGAGCGAGAAAATCCTCTGATCGTGCAGTAATGATTTAAGGATTGGCTTCATCCTCCAACATTCTTTCCTTTCTCCTCCTTCATCAGGTCGACAAAGAGTCAAGTGATTCCACTGATGTTTAGTTCCCAGAAGATTCCTGTGTACTGTCACATGGGAAACTTTGGATGTGGAGATGGAGGATGGACGCTGGCCATGAAGATCGCTGGCGACAAGGTACAAATTACTTCAGAGCATGGTTTTTTCAAAAATTACAAGCACTGTGGAAATTTATCGAATTTAAATCTTATGTTCTCTCTTTCATTTCAGAAAACGTTTCATTACGATTCTCCCTTTTGGAGCGACAGAAAAGGCTATAATCTTGCAGGAGGAACCAGTGGGTTTGATTTCCAAGAGACCAAGTTACCGACCTACTGGGAGACACCCTTCTCCAAGATCTGTCTTGGTATGAAGATCGACCATCAGATCAAGTTCATTGTCATCAACAAACATGCAAACTCTCTGTACTCACTGATCGCTGACGGCCAATACCGCGCCACCTTACTGGGCCGTCACACGTGGAAGAAGTTGATTGGTTCACAGGCCTCCTTGCAGCACAACTGTAACAAGGAAGGGTTCAATGCTGTGTGTACTAGAAGTAACAATGCTAAAGCAAGAATCGGCATCCTTGGTAACAACGAAAATGACTGCAGCAGCTGTGATTCAAGAATCGGATTTGGTACAGGCGGGTATCCTGATGACTCCAACACGTGTGGAAACGAGGCACTCCACTCACCAGATAATGGAGACAAACACATCAAAGCCATGGGATACATTTTGGTGCAGTGAGAAGAACTTTTCCTCGTCTTTAAGGCCATCCAAAGCAAAAAAAGTATCTCATGACAAAAAAGCTCGTAAGTCATCATAACTGCTTAGTAGCCCTACGATTTTTGTGAGTAGATTTTAAAATAAAAGATTGTTGTAAAACAAGCAAAAAGTTGGTGGTGGGAATAAATGTTTCTGACTTATTTTATTGTGTTTTATATCAGGTTTTCACTGAACATTACTCATCTGCAATTAACAATTAGCTGGACTGCACACAGAAGTATCGATAGCAACGCCGCGAATGAACAGTTCAAGTCCGACCAGTTTTTCTAATTACCTGCGATTAA